CCTAACAACACCTACTTGACTCCCTCCTCCTCCTCCTACTCTCACTCTGCCTCCCTCCTATTCTACTGCCTGCTTACTCCATTCTTGAACAATTGACAGATATCAATTCACTATCATACATCACCATACCAATCTGAGTCTGATTTTGTAAATAGGAGTTTCTCTTTATTTGGACTATGCTTAGGACGGCCAGCACCAATTGTGGCTGATGTTTCTGGTAATACCTCAAGTACCCATAATAGGTCTTGTTGCAAAACCCACCCGAACCATGACACCCACTTCCTGTCACTTACTGTATATAAAACGCACTGGGAACAAAAGTGCCCCCTTTCCCGATGAGGAATATTTCTACTGGACGTGAATGTGTCACTGATATGCATCCCACATGAAACACACTGTGTCACCAACATATTTACCTACTGCGCACACCCACCACATGACCCATGACAGTCATCACATACTAGATCGCCTTGTCCATCTAGATTTGAGGCCGTAATAATATGCGACAGCTACTAAACCCCAACCTACTCTACAGTACGACTAAAACCCCCAAGATCAACAAATTATTTAACCCCAACTCCATACAAGCTTCATTAGATTTCCAGATATAGATTGCTATAAGGACTTACAGCACCTAGAGTGTTGACTGGACCACATAATTTCTCAAATGCATGTATGACATAGAACAGAATTTTTCTTAAAAAACTAGACTATCACAAACATTTGCCCTATAACTACAGATCACTGAATAATGCTTTGCAGGGCTAAACCAAGCATCTGAAATATAGAAGGGTGCAATAACAAAGCAATATAGACAGTAATTCAACAGATATCTTAAACAATATAAACAGCCACCGTAATACTCCAAGAATCCCTACCCAACGGAATAAAAAAGATCTGGACAAAACTATCCAGAATGACTGGAAAACCCAAACTGGAAAAACAAGAATGTAAAATAAACAGAATTTTCTAACTGAAACACCACTGCATCCCACTGATACAGCTAACAAGATAAAGACTTCTTCTAAACATAGGATCTAATCTCGCACTAAAATCCCACGGACCATGCCATGACCGGGGACTTACCTAGTTCAAATTCCTTTTATCTTGTACCAACTGATCCCAGGAAGTCACCGCGATCATAAAGTCACTTAAAAATAACTCGGGGAATCTGTCTCACATCCCACCATTATTGTACAAGCGAGCGGCCCATGTCCTTTCGCATGCTATTACATTACTTTTTAACAAGTCACTAGAAACTAGCACTTTCCCAACACTACTCAAGACAGCAAGGGTTACACCAATACATAAAGGTGGTGACCCTACAGACATAAACAACTATAGGTCAATATCAAACTTACCATTGCTATCCAAAATCTTCGAGAAGCTCATGCACAGGAGACTATATTCATTTATAACATCACAAAACATACTCGACCCCTGCCAATTTGAATTCAGGAAAAATAAAAGCACTAATGATGCAATTATAAAAATGCTAGACCTGCTTAACACAGCATTGGAAAATAAGGAATATCCGCTAGGAATTTTTATTGACCTAAGAAAAGCGTTTGGCACAGTAGACCACGGAATCCTACTCCACAAACTTGACCACTATGGTATAAGAGGCCATGCGCTTGCATATTTTAAATCCTACCTTTCTAATAGGTATCAGTATGTCACCATTAAAGACACAGCCTCATCAATATGGCCACTTGATACTGGAGTTCCGCAGGGAAGTGCCCTTGGACCCCTGCTCTTCCTCATTTATATCAATGATCTTCCAAACATATCCCAACACCTGAAACCCATTCTCTTTGCTGACGACACGACTTATGTCATCTCCCACCCTAATCTTGCCACCCTCAACACCATTGTTAATGAGGAGCTGCTCAAAATATCGACTTGGATGACAGCCAATAAACTTACACTTAACACTGGCAAAACCTACTATATTATGTTTGGTAGCAGAGCAGGTGTTGCGCAACTTAACATTAAGATTGACAACACTCTAATTGCCAGACATAATGAGGGCAAATTCTTTGGCCTATACCTCTACAACAACCTAAATTTCAGCACCCATATCCAACACACAACAAAAAAAGGATCCAAAACGGTGGGGATCCTCTCTAAGATACAATGCTACGTGCCGCTAACTGCCCTTCTCACACTATACCATTCACTTATATATCCATACCTCACCTATGCTATCTGTGCTTGGGGTTCAATTGCAGCAACACACCTAAAGCCAATAATAACCCAACAAAAAGCCGCAGTAAGAATAATCACTAAATCCCATCCCTGGCAACATACCCCCCCCCCCCCCACTTCATAGATCTAAACTTACTCCCTGTTCAGAACATCCACACTTACTACTGTGCAGTCTGTATCTACAGGACCTTAAATTCCAATATTAACCTTGACCTAAAATGCTTTCTTGATAGTTGTGACAGGATCCACAGGCATAACACCAGACACAAACATCTCTATGACATTCCCCATGTGCGACTAAACCTTTACAAAAATTCAATGTATTTCAAAGGACCTAAAATCTGGAACACCCTACCTGAAAACTCTAGAACTGCAGATACATTCATCACTTTCAATACTACGGTTACAAAACATCTTATCTCCCTGATATACCCTGACAACTAACTACATGATAACCACCTGGTGGTTCACAATTACACTCACCCACCTACTATAAACCCAGAAATACTAATCTTAATCTTAAAATAATAAATCCTAACTAGTCATAAGTTTGCCTATGATACTCCAATATAGACACTTTGTATTGTGCCAAAACAAAAGCATTCACATTGCTAAACTCTCAAATTATGATGTAGTCACTTAGCCTTAATACCATAATCTGTAAGGATTTAATGTTAAAAATTAATCTAAGTCTGCCCGAAATGCCTAGCCATGCTACGTGTCCTAGTGGCCCCCTCTGTAATTAGTACAGTGGATCCCCGGTTTACGATCAGCTCCCAATGCGACCAATTATGTAAGTGTATTTATGTAAGTGCGTTTGTATGTGTATGTTTGGGGGTCTGAAATGGACTAATCTAATTCACAATATTCCTTATGGGAACAAATTCGGTCAGTACTGGCACCTGAACATACTTCTGGAATGAAATAATATCGTAAACCGGGGGTCCACTGTATTTTATAACATGTAAACCACACAATACCCAAAACCTGTAAACCCCACATTGTAACCCTTATAGAGAATAAACTTGAATTGAATTGAATCCAAGAATATAGAGAATAAACTTGAATTGAATCCAAGAGCACAACTCAGTCACTATTTTAAAATCAGACACAAGGTCAGAGTTTTGCTTTTCCCATCATGCACTGTGTGAGGCAAAAATTTTTTTTATACCATGCATGCTCACTGTACAGACCCATTCTCTCAGATCTAGGCCAAAATTTACTGTTCACAGCTTATCTGAGTGAGCTGAGCTCAAGACGTAGACCTATGTGATATACCCTGGCATCAATAATAGTTTACGTGATGGACAGTCAAAACAAACAAAAGACAACTTTATTTCTTTCTGCAGCATACAAAATGTAGTTTACATGTAATAAATATTGTTAAGCACAAAAGAAAGCCACCAGCATGCTGTGCATTTTGGCAGACTAATCCTAATACACTGCTTAACCCCTTGACTGTCGCAACTCCCAATCCTGAGGTGTCTCCTGGTGTCGCAAAATTTAAAAAAAAAAAAAAATTATTTTTTCTTATAAAATGATAGAGAATCTTTTCCCGATTGTAATGACACCAAAAAAAAAAACAAAATTTGATGGAAAACTGACGGAATTACGCTCTCACAAAGTTAGCGACCTCGGTGATATTTACAAATCGGCGATTTCGCCCACTTTGAGCCCTGTTTTCGGCTAATTCCATTGTTCCAGTCGACCAAACTCATAGCTATTTCTTTAGAACTCCATTTTTCTATCGATTGAGTACAAGAAACTGCCCATTTACCGATTTCAACTACCCAATAACGTGGTCAGAAATTTGCAATTTGGCCAATTTCACGAAAATTAAAAAATATGACAATTTCAAAATAAGGTCCAGAATGAACAATGCAGACATTCCTGGCTCTAAAATAACATTTTATTTGTTCATCAGTCACGTCTCCAGGCCCCTTGCTTTCTATTTTGAATTTTTATTCAAACAAAAAATGGAAGATATACTGTTATGCAGACTACTGCAATATTGTAATAGTTGTACAAATAATGTCAACCCATTCATGACTATATATTAGAATGGCTATTGGACATTTATTGGACAATGACATCATTTGTTTACTTTTGAATCATCGGCAAAAATCAAACATTTACCCTATTTTGAGCTCCATTTCCAGGTTCTTTTTATAGTAAAACCAATCAAAATCACCTCTATTTCTATAATATGTTCTCCATTCTATCAAATGAGACCAAGAAAACGAGAATACAACCATAAATACTATACAAAAATAGACCACAAATTCAGCATTTTAATTAAAAAAATCGGTCTGAGTTTTTTTTTCTCATTATGCACTGTGTGCTCCAGGACTTTTTTTATATGGTGCACACTGACCACACAGACCCATTCTCTGACATGTGGGCCTACCAGCTTTCTCCTGCTTGATTTGAAGCCGCTAGAATTTAGGAGTATATATACGTCAAACACTGTATCTTGTAAGACGTATATATACGACCAAAACAGTCAAAGGGTTAAGGACTAGACGTAGGTTACTGAGTAGGAGTATTTTATTAATGTACAGAGAGTGAGGTAGCTAAGTGAACAATTGTACAATTTTAAGTATGCATTAATACTTTAAAGTGATTCAGTGATCTTACATTAATTGGTATTTCTTAAGCAGTTTCAAAGGGTTAAGCATCTTAAGTTCACTCTTACTACTGAATTTGTATATGTGTAGCATAATTCTGATTAGTGTATTAAACACATTTATATAACTAAGTGCATATATTTATATGTAATTTGTTTTTTCCAGTTTCTCTCACACATATAAGCAGCCAGTGACAGAGTATGAAGCTATCAGAGAGAAGGCTGCTGCTCAGAAGAGAGACATAGAGAGAGCATTAACTAAATTTGCTGCTAAAACTAGTGACACTCAGAACCTTTTCTTCACCGATGATAAAGAGTTCATGTGTTAGTTTTCTACTTATTCTGTTGATACAGTGCAGTGAAATCCCAAAATTCACAAGCTTTGTTAGTTGCATGTTTTGCTTATCCCAATTTTTACTGAAGGACTTCTTGCAAATAGCCTAAGTTAATCAGTTTTTTTCAGTGTCCGTCAGATTTAGGACTAAATGTGCTCAATGGTTTTTCCACACCTGAAACACAAAATGAGCCCAAATCATAAACAAATTCTTTAAAAAAAATATTCACAACTGAGGTTTCACATTGCTTCTAGGAATGCAATTTTGAAGTTTGACTTCTTATAAATGTAATAATATTTCTCAAAGACACTTTATTTGGTAAGGTGTATGTAGGGGCTTCAATGCCCAAAGATTCGAAATTTAAAGTGTCTCTTTTTAAAAATTTTCCTTTCCTTTCAATATTATCCAATAATTATTTTACTTTTGAATTGCTTTAGTTGTCCACTAAATCTTCAGTTTTAAAAAAAGATCAAGAAAATTTTAAAACAGTGTGTTTTTAAAAAAAAGGTTGATATGTTTTAATAAAAGTGTTTGTTTGTTTTTTGGGGAAAAAGGGGGTTTGGGGTGGCTTAAAATGTTTTTTTTTTAGGGGGTGATTATGGAAATAATTTTAGTTGTGTTTTTTGGTGGGAAATGGGGAAAAGGAAAACAACAACAAGTAAGAGAGGGTAAAAGTGTAAAAACAAAGGGGGAGGAAAAATTCGGTGAGAATAAAAGCAACTATTGGCAAAAAAGGTGGGCTAGTGAAAGATGAGAGTAGGGGGGGAGTTGAAGGGGGGGGGGAATTTTTTTTAAAAATGCAGTATTAGAATGTGGGGAGAAGTTTGGGGGCTGTAGGGGGGTGGGTGCAGGAGAAAAGAGTGATTGGGTGGAATGATGAAGTAAAAGGTTGTAAAAGGGAAAAAAGGGAGCTTATGAAGGGTTTTTTCAAAGAGAAGTGTTTAAGAAGAGCAGGTATATGGAGAGTAAAGAAAAGGGGAAAGAGAGTGGTGAGAGACATAAAAGGGAGCAGATGAGATGGGGGAGGCACTGTCAAAAAATTTTAATGAAAATAAAAAAAAAATTTTTGGAGTGAGATAAACAAGTTAAGAAAAAACCTAGGGAATGAAAGGATTTATCAATTAAAAACAGATTAGGGGAGTTAGTAGTGGGGAGTGGAGGGATGTATTGGGTAGATGGCGGGAATATTTTTAGGAACTTTTAAATGTTGCGAAAAAAGGGGGCGTAATTTTATGCACTGGCCCGGGAGGTAACCTCTTTTAGAAGGAAGAAGAGCGGTGTGAGTGTGAGGGGGGTGTGTGAGGCTTAGTAGAATGAAGGGGGGGTAAAGCAGCTGGAATGATGGAATATGACAGAAATGTTAAAAGCAGGGGGGGAATAGTGTTGGGGTTTTTATTTTTTTTTTTTTTTTTTTCAACAAGTGGTCGTTCCCCGAGGGGGGGTGACCCCAAAAAAAAAAGGAAAAACCCCCAAAAAAAAAATACTTTCATCATCATTAACACTTTCACCACACTAAAACATTATACTGCTTTTTCAGAGGTGTCAGAATACAACAGTTTAGAAGCTATAGTAAAAGATACACAAAAATATCCCCCCAAACGCCAATATCCCAAACCCCTCCCTTTTTGTGCAGGCATTGTACTTCCCATTTCCAGGACTCAAGTCCCCACTATATGAAAATAAACCGGGTTTCCCCGAATTTCCCCTTTACTAATATTACCTGTACACTCCAAAGATCTCAGGTCCCAAATATCATTTGTTCCCTTTAATCCTATTAACACGTCATGCACGCTTGCTGGAGTCCCAAACCCCCCGCCACAAAAATCCTTACCCCCTCTTTCCAACCCTTTTGAGGACGACCCCTACCCTCTTTCCTTCCCTATAGATTTAGTATATGCTTTCCATGTCTTCTACTTTGATCCATTCTCTTAAAAGACCAAAAAACCCCAACAACCCCCCTTCGCCCTTGACTAATGCTTTTATTAACTCCACACCCTTTCCTAATTTCCACACTCCGAATTTTCTGCATAATATTTTTCACCCACACATTGCCCTTAGACAGGACATCTCCACTGCCTCCAACCGTCTCCTCGCTGCTGCATTTACCACCCAAGCTTCACATCCATATAAGAGTGTTGGTACTACTATACTTTCATACATTCCCTTCTTTGCCTCCATAGATAACGTTTTTTGACTCCACATATACCTCAACGCACCACTCACCTTTTTTCCCTCATCAATTCTATGATTAACCTCATCCTTCATAAATCCATCCACCGACACGTCAACTCCCAAGTATCTGAAAAAAATTCACTTCTTCCATACTCCTCCTCCCAATTTGATATCCAATTTTTCTTTATCTAAATCATTTGATACCCTCACCACCTTACTCTTTTCTATGTTCACTTTCCCAACTTTCTACCTTTACACACATTCTCAAACTCATCCACTAACCTTTGCAATTTTTCTTTAGAATCTCCCACAAGCACAGTATCATCAGCAAAAGTAACTGTGTCAATTCCCATTTTGAATTTGATTCCCCATAATTTAATCCCACCCCTCTCCCGAACACCCTAGCATTTACTTCTTTTACAACCCCATCTATAAATATATTAAACAACCATGGTGACATTACACATCCCTGTCTAAGAACCTACTTTACCGGGAGGTATTCTCCCTCTCTTCTACACACCCTAACCTGAGCCTCACTATCCTCATAAAAGCTCTTTACAGCATTTAGTAACTTACCACCTATTCCATATACTTGCAACATCTGCCACATTGCTCCTCTATCCACTCTATCATATGCCTTTTCTAAATCCATAAATGCAATAAAAACTTCCCTACCTTTATCTAAATACTGTTCACATATATGCTTCAATGTAAACACTTGATCTACACATCCCCTACCCACTCTGAAGCCTCCTTGCTCATCCGCAATTCTACATTCTGTCTTACCTCTAATTCTTTCAATTATAACCCTACCGTATACTTTTCCTGGTATACTCAGTAAACTTATTCCTCTATAATTTTTACAATCTCTTTTGTCCCCTTTCCCTTTATATAAAGGGACTATACATGCTCTCCGCCAATCCCTAGGTATCTTCCCTCTCTTCATACATTTATTAAACAAAAGTACCAACCACTCCAACACTATATCCCCCCCTGCTTTTAACATTTCTGTCATGATCCCATCAGTTCCAGCTGCTTTACCCCCTTTCATTCTACGTAATGCCTCACGTACCTCCACCACACTTACATTCTGCTCTTCTTCACTCCTAAAAGATGGTATACCTCCCTGGCCAGTGCATGAAATTACCACCTCCCTTTCTTCCTCAACATTTAAAAGTTCCTCAAAATATTCTCGCCATCTACCTAATACCTCCCTCTCCCCATCTACTAACTCCCCTACTCTGTTTTTAACTGACAAATCCATACTTTCCCTAGGCTTTCTTAACTTGTTTAACTCCAAAATTTTTTCTTATTTTCATTAAAATTTCTTGACAGTGCCTCTCCCACTCTTTCATCTGCTCTCCTTTTGCACTCTCTCAACCACTCTCTTCACCTTTCTTTTACTCTCCATATACTCTGCTCTTCTTATAACACTTCTGCTTTGTAAAAACCTCTCGTAAGCTACCTTTTTCTCTTTTATCACACCCTTTACTTCATCATTCCACCAATCACTCCTCTTTCCTCCTGCCCCCACCCTCCTATAACCACAAACTTCTGCCCCACATTCTAATACTGCATTTTTAAAACTATTCCAACCCTCTTCAACCCCCCCCCCACTACTCATTATTGTTGGTATTTTTGTTTAATAAATGTATGAAAGAGGGGAAGGTACCTAGGGATTGGCAGAGAGCATGTATAATTCCTTTATATAAAGGAAAGAGGGACAAAAGAGATTGTAAAAATTGTAGAGGAATAAGTTTACTGAGTATACCAAGAAAGTGTATGGTAGGGTTATTATTGAAAGAATTAGAGGCAAGACAGAATGTAGGATTGCAGACGAGCAAGGAGGTTTTAGAGTGGGTAGGGGATGTGTAGGCCAAGTGTTTACATTGAAGCATATATGTGAACAGTATTAGATAAAGATTGGGAAGTTTTCATTGCATTTATGGATTTAGAAAAGGCATATGATAGAGTGGTTAAGGGAGCTTATGGACCAACAAGTATTACACACATTTCAGAATCGTAGTGTTTGATTCATGAACAGAGACACACAGGCAGACAGAAAGACAGATAAGCAGAGACAGAGATAAACAGAGACAGAGCTAGAGAGACATACAGACAGACTGATAGACAGACATGTTTATGTGTAACAGTGAAAACAAGTAAAGCCAAGGTTGAATGGAGCAGTGCAAGATCATCAAGTGCCACTCCACTGCTGCACTGTCAGCAGTGGAGTGACACTCTTCTTACACCATGTTTCAAGGAGTTTCATATATACTCCAGCATGTCTAAAACATTGATGGGACCTATAAATACTTTGTATATATTTCTAGATAATAGTATGTGACCAAGACAGGTGAAAATGTTCAGCTGTCAGTGTGTTTGTGAATGGTATTATTTCAGTACCTAATATTAGTGTCAGAACAAAGATTGGCTATAAAATCACAAGAACTACAACAAATTGTAAATATCAGAACATAAAAATTATATAAATTAAAATACAGTGGACCCCTGAGTTTCGGTAGCCGCGACTTTCGTGAAATCCAACTTTCAGCAACTTTTTTCGTCAAAATATAGCCTCGCGGTTCGTGATTTGCCTCGCGATTCGTCTGTCGTACGGGACGTGTCTGTGCAGCCGGGAGTGGTTGGGCGTACACAAAGACTCAAACACAACATTCAGAGAGTCAGTGTGGCATGATTTGCGGGAGAGTGACCATCATCCCCTGGGTTCATACGATATATTTCATAATAATCCATTATTTTTTGTGCTTGTAACTGCTAAATAGGCCACCATGGGCCCAAAGAAAGCTCCTAGTG